CCGTTGTTTATAATACAACTATGGACTCCATTAAAGTTCTCACTTGCATCACTCTATATCTAAATGGGATATAATCAAAGAACTTCAAAATAGAGGTTATTCGGTGGAATAGTTGGAAATACTATTGTTCCGTTTTCCAACGCTTCTGTTAATATTCGCCGGTTCCATTATTTGCATTGTATAAATTTGAGGTTTTCAACGAGCAGTTCTAAGAAGCAATTTGAACTTTTCCTTTTGATATTTTAAAACTGTTCATGAAATGGAAATTCACAGTTCGTTGATTTTTTTAAGTGTCTCCCAAGATTTTCTATTGCACTTTTTTAATTTTTTAATATCATGAGTTACATTTCAGATTTTTGGCTTAGCTTTAAAAATGTCGCCTTGAATTTTAATGTGAATAGATGGTAAGTGATGCTCGGTTTTGGTCTTTTTGTTTGCAAACCTACCTATTTATATGGAGATGGGCATGAAACTCAAAATAGGCATAGTACAAAGGCACAATGAATAACGCAGCCTACAGGCGGCTCTCGTAATTAAAATCTGCCGTTTGGCTCGGCTATTGTCTGCGCGAGATAGAAGACAGTGATGTGGAAAAAAATATCGATATAATTTTTTTTCTATACTTTTTATAATATTATTAATGTATTTTAGGTTAAAATGAACTAATTTTGTTTATTTTGTTAATATTTGGTATATAAATATGGGGTAGAAGTACTAAATCCTAAGTGAAAATTATTTTTTTAAAAGATCGTAATACTTTTGCTTCAACTGTGCTAAAACAAGCAATCAATCACTTTAAAACGATGTCTTAGTTTGAATCTGAGACAATTTCAAACCACAAGACCGCAGACTTCGAAACCAAAACACTGGAATGCTATTCAAGCAATTTCACACTGTCATATATCTACTGAACATATACAATTAAAGAAATATATTATAAATAATATAATTTTTAATTTCATATAAGGTTTTAGTATAGAATATGTTATAATAATATTTGACTACCAATTCAAATAAGATCAGACTGAATTGTGTCATAAGACTAGGTACCTAGCGGGCACAAAGCCAAATGGATTGGTTAGCGCTTATCTTATAGTATTAGATGTCAATGTATTCAAATAGTCTCTTGTGATTACCTGTTCAGAAATTATATGATCTCAATATAATATATAAAAATATTATTCTTGACATTAATGTGTACTAAAGAACTTTATACCGCAATCTTCTATCATGAATACAATTTATTTCTTTCTTATATTGAATTGTAAAAAAATTTAGGAAATAAATAATGAACTGTCGCATCACTAACATAATAAACATATGGGTGTTTCGATAACATTCAGAGTTCCGAACCTTTTACTGAATTTACATTTAACATTGTAATTGTAATTATAATTATTTAATTAAGTATTCATTAATTTTGCTGACTTCTAACATTTTATTCAAACGGAAAACAATTACAGATAACAATTTTCATTTGATGTTTGTAAAATTTAAGAGCGTCTTTTGTTTATTGCAACGTTAAATTTATTTCTTTGTATTATCACGACTCTGAGTGTTTTTTATTAGAAACTTATAAATTATCATATTTTTTGTTGCCAGTACTTTCTATGTTAATAACATTTTTATCATCATATAAAATATATTCCATAAAATGCTTTTATTTATAAGGTCAATCACGTTATCGTGAAAATGCAGAAGGTAAAAGCCCCTTCCAAGATACGCCGAATAAATAAGCTTTATGCCACGAAATTAGGGTAATAGATCTTTAGAGTAAAATGAGGTCCCAATTTGAGTCTGATAGCCTTATCGGCTTTGATATTTAGGGTGATACTTTGGAATGTTCGCTGAAACATTGAGAGTTTCCGATGAAACCACTTCAGGCAATTAGCTAATCCTTTTTGACCTTTTTTTATACGAAATCAAAGTATTATATATGTTGGTATATAAACGATTTAGTTATGTTTCAATATATAAATGACTTTGTCAACAAACAAGCTTGTAAATAAAGCGTCATATGTTCGGAATGACCGTATGTTGAAACCAACGGGGCGACTGCTCCTGAACAAACTCATCGCTTACTCGTTACCACACTAATGAGTGCAAAAACCTTACTTGAACTTACATTCCTTATCTCCATATGATGTATTTAGTAACATTTTGTACTGTCATCAGCAAAAATTATGCCATGAAAAGAGTAATGAAGTTTTTTAAATATATCAACAGGCATTTTATCGATGTAACTTTTAATTGTAAATTCTATACCTACTCCTTTTAATTAAAAATTTGCTGTTAAAACTTCCTTATTGTTTATAGGACTTTATTTAAAAGAATTGTACATGTGATATAGAATTCAGTGTGAAATGCTTTTTGGCTTTTATACGAGTTGCCTGTTACACTTGTTAGTGTATTTGTCGAGAGTACCTCACCATATGATCCATACAAAGAGAATCGACTAGCAATGGATAGGGTTGGCAAAATGTATCACGACATTTATGTATAAAGTACTGGTGATAAAGCTGATGATTATTTCTTATATTTTATTACTATTATTATCTCATGTCATTCTGTAATACGCTGTATATCTTAGTTTGAGTACACCGATCGATTTTCGTTACTATATGGACGACGAAGGCCTAATGATGCAGTGCAGGTCATTAGCGCTGGTACTTCTATCACTTGTAAAATTGCCTGCTTTGGAAATATCAATAATTTTGAAGTGTGACAATCTTACGGATAAAATAAATGCTTGTTAGTGACTGCGTATAACTTACTAGCTTTCCGCCCGCAGCTTCGCCGCGTGGAGTTCGGTTATATCGCGTTTCCAAGAGAACCTTTCAAAAGTCTGGGATAAAAACTATCCTATGTTCTTTCTCAAGGTCAACTCTATCTCTGTACCGAATTTCATTAAAATCAGTTCAGTGGTTTAGGCGTGAAAGCGTAGCAGACAGACAGACAGACAGACAGACAGACAGAGTTACTTTCGCATTTATAATATTAGTAGGGATAAAGAATTATTATTAAACTTATGTATGTTGAACTATTTAAAGTACATTCTTTTAAGTCTAGATTTGTTATAAAGGTCTGCAGTATAAGTCGTTTTGTGCATCGTGCAACAAACCTCTGTCAATGTACTTGCAAATCCAGTTTAACCCTGAAACAGCTGTGACACCATAAGTTCCCATTGGCACAACGCCATAACAAGATCTTTGCCAAAACTATACGTTGTATATATAGTATTGCAGCAATCATTGTAAAGCCTTCAAATACTTTTCTTTTCTATAAATAGAACTCAACTATTCTGTATTAGTCCAGTGAGGAATAAATTATTAGGTTATCATTTTGTAGTATTTTTTTATGTCCAAGTCCAATTAGACGCGAAAAATTTTAGTCAATAGATATAGAAGACTAAACTTGTGAACTAAGCTGAAATTAACCCGTTTATTAAATGTCAGAGATTGGAATATCCTTCACCCTTCGCAAGAGAATGAATAATAATGAATAATTAAGAAATTATGAAAGATATTTGTATAATTCATATCAAAGATGCTAATTATGAGTACGTTGTGTATAATGTTCTTAACAAGACTTAAATGTTGTTATTTCAAACAGAATATCTTAAGGAGTTATAAATCTAAAGTTCCTTTTAAAGTATTTTGAATAGATTTAAACTTTTAAATTCAATTGAATTTATCGATGTTTGTTGCTTCGTTTCATTCAAACTACTTAACAATTTAGTTGTATACACGTATATATGTAAATATTTTAATGTTTGAATGCTAATCTCAGTCCTAAAACGAAATTGTAAATAATTTTCATCGGTCTTCAACATTTCGTTACATACAAAATTAGCAACAAAAGGGTTGACCCCAATTTTAGCGGGTCCCTGATAACGGACTGATAACATTAATCACAACCTATCTTCTCCGGTCCTTTGCCAATTTTCTGGTCAGTGACCTTTTAATTTGCCACCCCGTAAAGTAATTTTTCACTCCGGCTGTGATGTGATAAGCATTAAGTTGCTGTAATCAATGAACTTGATAATGATGGGATCATCTGCGTCTGTTGAGACCTACATCACATTAATACGTATCATATTAATTGAATTATTTTAATCCATATTACTTTACGTGTGATGTATATTACTAAGGATATGTAAACACAATATTCATATATATACTTCTTAACTAACATCAAACTTATAACGACTTCGTTACCTTTAAACTTTAATGATCGTAATACGATATTTAAAATAAATTGTATGAATAAAACGTCAAATGAGTCTACAGTTTCATCTTGTCTTTGAAAGTTTAAATTGATCGTGAAACGTTAAGATTTGTTTAATGATTTAGATTCAGGAAATACATATATAATGAGCAGTAAATCAAACACGAACCGAGTTGAAAACTAAAATAGTTTTTATAGCTGGTTGCAATAAAAACTGACACGGTTATAACCGCATTAGACACTGTTTATTTCGTTTACGTAATGACATGCTACTTTTTAAATAGCTATTTATAGTAAAAAGTTTTTAGTGTGAGTAATTTAATATAAATATATTATAAGTACATATACAAATTAAATTAATGTTATAAGTATCTCACTTTATTTAATGTTCATGAGCCAAAACTCCACAGGAAAATCAGTCAGAGTGGTATTTTGTCATCGCTCGCTACGATGACATTTAATTTCAACGCTCTCTCATAACCACGAACTAATTGAGCCACCTTGCCTAATTTCTCACCTGCCCACCTAACGTCTCTTATTTCTTTTTCAGAATTCTATACATAGAATGCCACATTAAACTGTGAAAAAGATCAGAGGAATCAAGATGGCGTCCGAGATTGCGCGCCAAATCCCGCTTAGAAACCAGCGCCATCTGTCAACTTGCGATAAAAGCTTCCGTAGTTTAAATTGTTCGGACCGTTCGAAATAGTGCATTTGTTACTCGTGATGTGATAGTGTTTTAGTTTAGTGTAGTTTAGTGTTGTGTTGTGACTATGTCGGAGGAGAGGTCGCGCCGTTTGTCGCAGATATTCGACCCGTTGTCTAGGTTTATGGATCATAGCGGCGCGGGGCAATCGGTTAGTACGCCGAATAGTCCCAGGTTGTTGCCCAGGCGCGCTAGGGAACCCCCACCACCACCTCCTAGGTAAGACAATTAAAACATTCAACACAAAACACATCTCACTCTTATTAAATATAAAAACCCATTATAATATTCACTGAGCGAATCTTCTAGTATTATTTACACTAATTACATGTCACGCTATAGTAGCTACGTCATTAGCAGTACTTTGAAACGCTGCAAGTTAATTGAACCAAAGATTGTTCACAGATATCGCATAGTATTGCGAATAACTGTTGCAATATTACTTCATATAATAATGTTATATAAATATTATTTCTATCAATTTAGGTTATGTGTATTTATTTTACTTTCAATATAAGCAATGCTAAGTAAAGTATAATTATCATTAAAAATAATGGGATATATTAATTGAAAGGCTGTCGAAATTATGTCCCTTTTAATTCAATCAATTAAAATGTTATATGGACGGACGTAGAGTTGTTAGTATTTACTTAATTTATTTCCGAGTGACATTTAACGAGTATATTATAGAGAATTAATGATGTTGAAGCTTTTGTTTGCTGAATTGATTTGATATAATTCGAACGATTTATTACTGAAATATATTTGCGACCACGATCGGAAAATTAACTGAATATTCTACAAACATAAAACGTGCTACCGAGCGAATTTAAACAACTATTCTCTTTTTAATTGACTATAACCCCGGTTATTTTCGTTTAAAGTTATATCGTGGTTAAAAGAATATAACGTATTTTTAAATACTACTTAAATCGAATCAACTTAATACTATATTGATTTGGTTATTTGTGGTTTTATGTAATGCAATAATAACGCGATCTATGTATGTTCGATTTTTAAAATATGTTCAGTTTTTTTTTTAAATATCAAATCAGATGAAGGCGATAGTCCAAAATATTCAGCCAACATCATATTTCAAATATACATTCTGAGAATTTCCGTGACAACGTCCACAAATTGAAGGATTAAGTCGCTTCCAATTTCCTAGTTACCAGATATCAAATTTTGGTTAAATCGGATCACTAATCCGGTGACTGTTAGTATTTGTAGAGAATATTATAATTCAGTATAATTTATAACGTCATGTATTTGAACAATCACAATAATTGGTTGAACCGAATATAGCATAATACAAATTATTATTGCAATATAAATTGCATTATGTCACTATCATCTAATCATCAAATACGTAGACCGTATTGAAGTCACTCCATAAATATTTATTTTAATATTTAGGTGTTGCCATATATAAATTTCAAATATATATTATCAACTAAAATTCTATATATAACACTGACTTCAATAAGTATACAAATTCAGAATTAAATATTTAACCATTTAATAAGACAATTGTTTAATGAGATCTAAAACTTTCGGCAGTATCGATTGAACTAATATTTTCGGATTTAGTACGCGATATATTTTTTTTTAATACAATATACTCCCGACGTTTCGGTTACTTTGCAGCAACTTGATTAAGGGCAAATCCGTTAATATTCGTTTTTTTCAAGACAATTATTCCCTTTTCTATGCTATTGGTGAAGTGTAACGTACATAACATATTTCGTACATAAGAAGGCCATATATAAAATAGTTTAAGTTAAGAAAACATTTCATTTGTAATATGTAATTTGAATTTGTGTAACTGATTTGTAATCTTCTTAGGCCATTCGGTCATTCATCCCGGTTGGACGAGCTCGAGTATGAGCTAGCAGTTGCTGAGGCGGATGTCAACTGGCAGGAGAGATGCCTGGAACTTCAGCTGGAGTTGCATCGCAGCCGGCATCAAGCGACCAGGGTCAGAGACATGCTCAGAGATAAGGTAAGATTAATATTAAAGACCATACAGTCAAAATATGTGACGAATTTGCTTTGATAAACATTCAGTTCTATATCAAGTAAGAATTCTATAGACTTTAGTATAACTGCACATATTTAATAAATATGTTTCGGCAGAACCTGGCTTAAGCTGGGAAATTACCAGGAAAAAGAATAAGAATAATATATGTTTAATTTAAGCTTAATATTGAATGAAACTTGCCCTTTAAATCATAAATATCTAAGCATTTTGTCCACAGTTTACGCCATCTTAAGTTTTGTTCATAAAGTCTGTTTATATGTATCAAAAAGTATAAATAATATATAATTATAGACTTGATTTAAAAAGAAAACTGTTGCTTAGTCTGGAAAGGCTTTCAATGAGTTTTTAATAACATTAAACTCATCACGCTTAGTTATAAAATCGTTTTGTACGTTAGTTCTTTCTTTGTTAGATAATATGATTACGTTTTATATAAAAGAAAGTTTTATTATACAAAATTAATGTTATTATTCTTATAAACTGTTGTCAGATATAATAAAATTTATTTAACACTAAGTGCAGTGATTTTTATCTAATGTACATGAGGTATAAGCCAATACAAGTTTTACTAAATTCAATTTATCCATTAATGTCTAGAGGAAAATGTGCCAACACGTGTTGTGTATTAGAGTTATTGTCCTCTGTATGCTGCGGGTCCTTCTCGACTGATAATAATTAATGATCTATTTTAATATACATTAAATACTAAATTAACTATTTATTGTAAGTTTAAGAAAGACTGTTTAAAATTGAAGAATTATTTCAAAAACTGAAGGTACTGGTCTTAGAAATGTTCTTCGATCATTAAAAACACCAACAAAAAAAGTATATTTTGAAAAAATCACCACGTAATGACTTTTTAAATAGAGAGTAAAAATATATATTTCTTAATCGATACTATACTTCAAGTGTATTAAGCAATAGTATAGCAAGAATTTATATTTACAATACTTATTTATTTTCGTTGCTTATATATAGAAAACAATCAGTATATAATAAAGGATATATAAAACCATTGAATCCCGTAATAGAAAGATGTCCTGTTCGATATCATATCAATTGATAGCCGTATGATATCTTCCGCTTAGTTTAGTTTGATGGCTAGATTACATTTCTATTATGATAAGACCATATCATCGAAAGAATATTATAAAACTAGTATCTATTTCTACGAATTATAAGTTTTGATAACTTAATTTTCTTCTATATGTATGTACTTAATTAAGTGTTAGTATAAAAAAGAATGAATAGTATTTTATTAATCTGTATATTATATGTAGTATGTAAGACGAAATTTTCAAAAAGTAAAGTTGTCGATTCAAATTCACAGTAGCTACCTAAAATGTAGAAGTTCCAACGTCATCTGTTCTTTATTGCTCTGGGATTTAATTTCGCTTGACATTATTCACGTTCTTGGTAAGTTTTTGCGTTTCTGGAAGTCGCGGGAAAGAGTTTATGATAGATGACTGATCCATTTTTCATTATTTTTTGGGGTGAGGACTGCGAGTTGTCTCGAACTGCGGCTGCATTGGCTTTTTAAATATTACAATTGTCACATTCCAACTATTCTTTATAAACCCTTTCTGAGATTCAATATATTATATAATTTTTATAGATTTAAAAATTATATTTATCTTTATATATTTTTACAATTACGATTATATCCATGAAATACTCAAAGTAAATATGATCTTCACTGAATTTAACAACGTTTAAAACACCGAAGCGAAAGTAATCTCATAAACCCCTCCATTAGTGCGTATTCAGCGAGTCGTATCTAATCATACGTCAGACCCAAGATATACTATAAAAACCATCCTTCCAGAAGACGTAACAGATAAGACACTCCCTGTTCAATATGTTTTTGTTAATGATATAGAACCTCATTTATATATTTGGACTAATGATTGAAGACATTATGCAGTTTATTAAAAAGAAAACAAATAATTACTTTAGCAATAATTGATTGATAACTCGAATTCAAGAACCGTGAATCTCGATGGAGAAACTTTTAATTAAGCGAAGTAAAGTTGTAAGCGTCGTTTGGGCCAATTTATAAAGTTTAACGACTGTCAACAGCTGTGCTGTTTGCTTACAACTAATCGACTGGGAATCGGAATCATTATTGCTTCCACTGAATTGTCTAGCGGAAAGTTAAGGCTTCGATCTTGTGTAATTCTAAAAGTATCGTTTAAAATTTCAGTTAAACCAGACTTTTAGTTGGAGAATGAGTAAGAATGTTTCATCTTAAATTGTTTTATGGTCATGAGGTTGTCTAAATAATTCATATAAAATGTTCTATTTCAAGTGAAACACGACTTCGTTTGAAATCCCGTCCGTGTAAGAGCTATTCATCTCATGAGTGCATATTTTATTTACCGTTTATTGTTAAGAAGATACAGTTCTTGAGATTTAAGGATACGTACCGTTTGCATTATATATTAAGTGATGATATGCCTTGAATATTTTATATTATTAATTGCTTATTTATCCGTAAAATATTACTTTTGAAAACAAATAAATATTGAGTAAAGAAAACCGTTATTGTAATATTGAATTTTGTTTTTGAACAATCTTAAATAATAAAACTGTTATTACTGTATACGCGTATGATTTAAGAAAAGGAAAAAAAAACAAAGTTTTCGGAATTCGAATTCATTTCAATTTCAGAGAGAGTTTTCAACATAAAGTTGTGCTTTTAACATGAAATGCAATACATATTAGTCAAATTTTCCCCGGCATCCTTTAGTCCCGGGTGCATAGAGTTTGTAGCGCTTTGGCTTTTACAAATCGCACCTTTGCTACTTTTCACGTGTAGCACAGAGTAGGAAACTGTTACAGGTCTTCTGCAAACAAATAAATAATACAAAAGCTATTCGAGACGTTTCCAACTGGGGCTTATCCCATTTATTTTTTAGCTTATTTAGAATTTTTGAGCTGATTCAGAAGCTCATAAGCGTCTCTTTGGTATACTCAACAAACATTTATTTTTTATTAGATTTATATAACTTTTGACACTAAATGAAATCTGATTCCATTTTTTAAATAAAATAATTTTATCTTGATAAATATTCATCAATCAATACGCCCAATTTATATTATAAAATGTAAATTATTGGTATTACAACATGGAAATATGTATATAATGTCATAACAATAACTTTATTTCTGTAATATTTGCAGCTTCTAAATATGTTTGTTCTATGCTAATCTCAAAAGGCCCATACATCACTAAAGTACAGGCATTTTGGTGGCTATAAATCAGCCGATCCCAAATAGTGACTACAAATATTTTAATCTAAACTATACATAAAATATAGTTTCCTGTATCATAAATCATATAACAAATAATTCTTATCAATTCTCATTATCGAAATTTAACTCTGAGATTAATTAAATTTATTTCCTATAGTAATATTATATGAATGTAAATGCAACTGATTTGCTTTTATTCTGGACTCTGTTAAACTCGGAGTGTGAAATCGCTGCCAATACAGTTAAAGATACTGCAAATGGGATAGCTATGCTGCCTGTCGTTTCATATAACTGCCTCATACCTCGCGAAACGCACACTATATACAAATAATACTTATTTAATTTACAATAATATGGAAAATTTCCAAAACTAACAATTGTTTTTAAAGCATTCATATTACGCTTAAACTATTGAAAATAACTAAATATTAAGTTTTTTGTCTTAGTATTTTTATACATATAGAAATAATAATTATTTTATTTCCATTATACATAATAATATAAGTAATAATTCCTTTTTATTTCATACACTGTTCGTGTGCGTTAGTTCTTTATCCATTGAGTCGAACTATACAGTGAAATCGTCAGAAACGTTCCACACGCTAAATGTAACAATACTGCATTTCTCTTTACATTATCGGCCATTTTGAATTTATATGTATTACCCTATATTCTACCTATAAAAATATATTATTATTTGAATATCTGTAAGCTAAAGGTTTCACTAAATATAAATTTATATGTATTTATACTTTTTATTCCGTACTTTTGTTTTGCTTAATAGTAAATTTTTATGTTTTACAAGTGATTTTGTTGCATGTAGAATGTTCAAATAATATAGATTATTTTCATAAACCTAAGAAAATATCTGTATAGGAATTATTTAAATGATCTCTGTTATTTTATATTAAGTTATAAAAATGTTCGCATATTATAATAAAATATAAAAACGTTGAGAGGGTTAAAATCAATATTCATAGATTATGTTCTGGCTATAACAATATGCAGTATTAAATTATGTTATGTCGAACACAGGCATGCCTGTGGCTTTCAGCCACTTAATTACTCTGTGATAATGATTTTCCGATGACCCTGTTGTTATTGAAATAATAATTTATTATATGACACAATACACAAATTTTTATAGTACTATAATGTAGATTTTCTACAGGTAAACATTTAAATAGTCTATCATTTTGTTACTACTTTTTCAGTTTTACCTCTCGTTGAGCTTCGACCGCTCCTGTGTATAATCAGCTTAAGTCTAAGACCTAAATAACCTAGCTTAGAATTTATTTATCGGATTACTCATACTTTAGTTCGCTTCCGACGCAAGTTTTTCTTATACTTGTAAGTAGCTTAACGGTAGAGCGTCTCTTGTCCACCTGCCTTTATCTTTTTTTGAAGAAAAATATTTTATGTACACTGGTAACATACACGTCACATTATTATTATTTTTTCATTCGAATAATATTCAGAGGTTACTTATACATCATCCCTCCTCATTATCAGTTTGTTGGTGGGCAAAGACCTCTTTTCACATACATAGGTAAGGTAAAAGCATTACTCGCTTGCTCAAGGTGGATTGGCGAATTAATTTTTTTTTATTTGAAATTATATGTCCGAGTTTCCACACTATGTTTTCGTTCACCGCCTGTCAGTTGCGTCTAAATACTCTTGGAAAGTACACATAACTCGGAAATAATCATATTTGTACTTGCTAGGTGTCGAACCAGCACCCTCGTGCACGTGAAGCGAGC